AAGAAGAAGAAGAAGAAGAAGAAGAAGAAGAAGAAGAAGAAGAAGAAAAACAAGAAGAAGAAGAAGAAGAAGAAGAAGAAGAAGAAGAAGAAGAAGAAGAAGGAAGAAAAAAAGAATAAAATGTTCAACTCTGTACTCACAATCGTCGGTGTGCTTCTGGTTGCCCGGGCAACCGTCTGCCGATATGTAGAGAACCATGGCGCCATTGGGCGGCAACTCTTTGAAGGCCGAGGCCAGGAACGTGTTGAGCTGTCCGTACGTGGGCTTGTACAGCAGGTACTTGTGAGGGTTGTCGCGCTTGTTCGTGCGGTCACCATTTTCCTGGAACGAGGAAAGTTTAAGAGTTGAAGAAAATAAAATCCCAGGACCTATCCCCACCCTGCTTGCTGGTTCGGTTTTCCCGAACTGCTTCACACAACAGAATCATACGTCTGAGAACCAAGAGAATCACTGAAAGTAAAGGGCAGAATTTGCTCACAACTCAAAAGTTCGGAAGTCCTCCACAAACAGCTCTGTCCAAAACAAAAACACAAAAACGTGTTACTTTACTTTTCCCAGACTTACAAAATTGTGTGTGTGGGGGGAGGGGGCGCTATATTTAACATTTCCGCGACTTACAAAAGGCGTCCGGCCCGGGGCGGGGGAAGTGTCGTAGATCTGGTTGGTGAGGTCGTCCTGCGGCTCTCGCTCCAGCGTCTGCAGCATGCGGAACATGTCCAAGGTCAACTCGCTGAACTTCACCTGGTGGGAATGTCAATGTTCAGACAACGGTAATAATGCCAGTGTGACTACAGAGAAAAGTAGACAACATAGTACTCACAAAATACAGTCATAAAAAACTTCAGCAATACAGTCCAACCTACTCCAACGGCCACCTGTCTAAGACAAGCACCTGTACAAACGACCACTCCCCACCTTGCGTTTTCTCTACATCATAATGACATTATCCAAAGACATTCACCTGTCTCAGACAAGCACCTGTACAAACGACTACATCATAATGACATTATCCAAAGACATCCATCTGTCTGAGACATCCACCTGTACAAACGACTACATCATAATGACATTATCCAAAGACATCCACCTGTCTCAGACATCCACCTGTACAAACGACTACATCATAATGACATTATCCAGA